GAAGGCATGCAGGGGAGCTCCAGAAGCTGGGAAGCCAGCAGTGGTGCATCTACACAGGGCAGAGTCCTCATCCTTTTCTGACACGTCACCACCTGCTTATGTCTGTTGGCACTGGCTTGTCTAGTCTAAGAAAAGCTTGCTTAAAAAAAAAAAGAAAAACCAACAACAAAAGTTGTCCTAAAAAGTCAAACAGGAAAACCTTCCTGTCGAGTTGACTCTGAGGAGTGGCAACCTCATGAAAGGAAATGTGCATTCTGTAGGATTCTCAGGGGCACAACAACAACAACAGTTCTTCCTATGATTGCTAGGTCTTCCTTCTGAGGTGTCACTCGAGGGAGCTGAACCTCCAACCTTTCTGTTACCAGTTGAGTGTGTTAACTGCACCATTTTGGGCCTCTCAAGTTCACTGGAAGCTTAAGTGCAAGGTTACAGTTCTCATGCAGCTCACCACTGAAAGGCACTAGCCTGACCTTATCCGATCACACGGTGATGAAGTTGTGAGACAGAACTAGTACCAGGACACCACCTTCTGCGCCAAGGTCCCCCAGAACCTTCCTGGGAGCTTAGGAAGAAGGGGCCTAGCCTGGGAAGTCAGGAGGGGGCTTCTCTGGGACTGGAAGCAGCATCTTTCTTCCACAGAGACTCCAAGCACCCCAAGTACTGCATTGAGTTGAGCGCCCAGCCAGTGGGGCTTGTCCGGGTACACAAGGTCCTGGTGGTGGGCAGCACCCAAGACTGCCTGTACGGCTTCACCCACAAGGTGAGACCCCGGCGAGCACCCTCCCCCCCCCCTTAGCAGGAGAGTCCCTCTGGTTTCCCTCTCCTAGAAACCCCTGCCACCCTGCTTTCACCCTGAGTCCCCTGCAGAGACTTGTCCCATTACAGGGCAAGAAGCTGTGGACAGTGCAGCTGCCCGCGGCCATCCTGACCATGAACCTCCTGGAGCAGCAGTCCCGGGGTCTGCAGGCCGTCATGGCGGGGCTGGCCAACGGCGAGGTCCGCATCTACCGCGACAAGACCCTGCTCAATGTCATCCACACCCCGGTGAGCCTCGCCGCCACCCCCACACTGCTAGCATCTCCTCTGGCCACCTCCCCACCCCACCAGCTGACCCACCCTGGACTTGTGATGCCTTTCAGAACTCTGAGCTCCTGAGGCACCAGCGGCCTGTACGGGGCATGTAGCAGTGCTTCAGTGCTTGCTCTTCAGAGGTAGCTAATTCAGATGCAGGCAGATTGGAGCCGGACCACGGGCCGGGAGAGCAGTGGGGCCCACTGAGTGACCACGTGAGGCTAGGACAGCACACAGTCTTGGAACACGAGCCACCAGCAAGTGACAGCTGGCCTGACAAGTGGGAAAAAGGAGGAAGGGCATCCGACAGCGAATAGGACGAACAAGGGCCCAGAGCATCCGTTTCATCACTGTGTTTGTCCCAGGAGTCCAGGTGGTCTGATGAGGTTTGGACCAGAGATTTTCAAACCATAAGTTGTGAATCATTAAATAAGTGGAGGGCAACCAATGCAGACTCGAGAACTCAGTGTACCATAGCAAAACCTGTGAAACACTGTCCCAGGATAAAATGTGACAGCAGGTGGTTGGAGCACGGTGTGTTAGCACCGGTGAGACACAGACTGGCACCAACATTCGCCTCTTGTTCTTTATACACATGGAATAAAAGAGAAAGAACCCAATGACTCAGAGAAGGAACTCATCTACAAGTCTTAACAATAATCAGGGCAAACCGTGGCCTCATCTACCCGGAGGCCAGAACTGAGTGTTGGCTGGGTGGTGATGAGGGATGCAGATCAGGGCAAACCGTGGCCTCATCTACCCGGAGGCCAGAACTGAGTGTTGGCTGGCCGCCCCCACTGACCCTTCTGACCAGGGACACAGCACCCACAGATCCTGATGATATGGGAGCAAACTGTGGCACAGAACCCGAATTCTTAGGAAGTCTGGAGTCACTGGACTGGCTGGGACTGGAGACTCCCCACTTGCCCTAAGATACCCGTTAAGCCTTGAACCAGAACTATTCCAAGAGACTTTTTTTTCCACTCAATAACAGATTAATTCACAAAAGAAACAATATCTCCTGAACTGTTTCAGGATGATTTCAAAAAATCATCTATAAGAGACCAAAAATGGTCAACACTTGCTCTCTAGCAAAGATGAGAAGGCCAGGGGGCTGGGAAACTGTTCTTTCTAGAAACAACCAGAAAGGAAATAGAAAACTGACACTGTGTAAGATAGAATAAAAAATTCTCAACTGCTGGACTGGTAGGTGATATCAAGATAGATGGAGAAAAGACTGAAATTGTTGATGACTTCATCTTACTTGTATCCACAATCAGTTCACTTGGTACCAGCAGTCAGGAAGGAGATCAGGAGGTGCCTTGTATTAGAAAAGTCTACAGTCAGGGACCTCTCCAAATTATTGAGGAGCAGTGATGTCAGATTGAGGACTGAGGTGCATCTCATTCAGACCAAGGTCTTCAGTCATTTGCTATGCTATTGAGAGCTGGACAGTGAATAAGGATGACAGAAGAAAAATTGATGTCTTTGAACTGTGCTGCTGGAGAAGAGTACTGAATACCCCATGCACTGTCAAAAGAACAAACTTACATCTTAGAGATGGTGCAGCCAGAGTCCTCTTTGAAGGCGAAGATGATAAAGCTTCGTCTCATATACTTTGAGCGTGTTTCTAGGAAAGGCTGTTCCTTAGACAGGGGCATCATGCTTGGAAAGGTGAAGGGTCAGCTAAAGAGAGGAAGTCGCTCAACCAGACGGATTGACACATTGACTGCAGCAATGGGCTCAGGTGTGTCAGAGATTGTGAGGCTGTGCAGGACAGGACAGGGTTCAGATCGCTTGTTCACAGGGTCACTGTGAGTTGTACTTGAATGCACCTAACAACAAGATGTAACCAATGTCCCTGAACAAATGAGTTACGTGAGAACGTAATATATAAACTGTCACCACAAACAAAATCATTTTAGAAGAGGCAGTCTGAAGTCAGATGTGGAGGGACTTGTCCTGACAAGGAGGATAAAAGCCACAGAAGTTTCTTGGTGGAGAACAAACATGATCCAAAAGGCAGCAGTGCAGAGGGCAGATGGGAGAAAGACTGGATGCCTGGGGACCAGCCCCAGGACACTGAGTTGGGAACTGTGCCCATGGCCCTGAGGTTGGCAGGGAGATGAAAAATACTGGGATAGTCGACGGGACAGCATTGCCCCAGTCACTCCACATCCCATCTATTAAATGTGGGGTCTCCCCAGGCTTCTCCCTCCCTGCCCTGCTCCCAAGATGCCCTCCCCTGAACTCCAGTGTCGCCATAGGATGCAGTGACCAGCCTCTGCTTTGGCCGCTATGGGCGGGAAGACAACACCCTCATCATGACTACCAAAGGTGAGGAGAGAAGAGGGAGGAAGCAGGGTGGCCTGGGTGGGCCTGCAGGGGGTGGGTCTGCAGGCAGGTAACTGGGTGGACCTGCAGGTGGGGTGGCCTGGGTGGGCCTGCAGGTGGGAAGCCTGTGTGGCTATTGCTTCTATCCATGACAGCTCACCAGCTCCTGATTTTGCAGTCCAGATGCTGAGCCCTGAGCTGAGCGGGCTCTCCCAGATTTCCCAGTGCCCAGTGGCACAACTCCAGGCACACAGTCTGAGGAAACCAGGCCTGGATGACAAGGATGCTGTGTGCAGGGCTACAGTGGGAATGGGGAGGACACTTGGACAGAGCAGGGCCCGCATTTCCCTGTGTCCCTCCCCCAGGAGGTGGTCTGATCATTAAGATCCTGAAGCGCACAGCCGTGTTTGTGGAGGGGGGCGGGGAGGCCGGCCCCCCACCAGCCCAGTCCACAAAGCTCAGTGTGCCCCGGAAGACCCGGCTCTATGTGGACCAGACGCTGCGTGAGCGAGAGGCTGGCACTGGTGAGACTAAGGCTGGCCCTTCCTCCACCTCCCCTTCTGCCTGCACCCCCCCTTCTCCACTGTCCCTTCAGCAGCAAGAATTGGGTGAAAGCCACTGAGGGGGCCCTGCAATGGGAGGGGACCTTGGCCTCAAAGGGGGCCCTGCAATGGGAGGGGACCTCAGCTTCCAAGGGGGCCCTGCAGTGGGAGGGGACTTCGGTCTCCAAGGGGGCCCTGCAGTGGGAGGGGACCTCGGTCTCCAAGGGGGCCCTGCAGTGGGAGGAGACCTAGGCCATGGAGCAGGTAATGCTTCTGGCCGTTGAGGGACAGCTTAGGAGACAGCCTGCTCCCCGGTGCTGTGGGTTGAAGCTCGGGCCCTGCAGTGCAGAGGGAGTAGCACCTTCAGCACAGGAATTCCCAGGAAGGAAACAGAACTGCGCCAGGGGTCTTCCTGTTCATCTCTCCTGTTCATTCATTCGCTGTGTCATTCTGCCAGGCCTGGTGGCAGTGGTGCCTTGAATTTGGGGAGGCCCACCTTCAGGGCACTGGCTCCTGCCACTGGCCAGCTTCATTCTGACAACCTGTGGGAAGGCCTGTGGGCACACACAGGAGGGCAGAAGTGGTTTTCCTGGGAGGCTTGGGAAAGGCTGTGGAGGAGGTGACACTGAAGGCATGACACCTTACAAGATGGTTACAAATCCAGCAGGCAGTGCAGTGGGTAGGCAGTGTGGGCAGAGGCACAGGGCCCAAGTGGGCCCAGCAGTACCAGCCAGCTGACTCTCCTGACCGGAAAGGACAGGAAGAAGGTCAAAGCCAACTCCAAAAGAAACTCCCCGAATTCAGAACTGCTGCTGCCTCTTCCCTCCCCCTCCCCCACTGGCATCACCCCCTGTCCTCCCTCCTCAGCCATGCACAGAACCTTCCAGACAGACCTCTACCTGCTGCGCCTCCGCACTGCCCGGGCCTACGTGCAGGCCCTTGAGTCCAGCCTGAACCCTGTGTCCGCAACAGCCCGGGAGCCCCTCAAGCTGCATGCAGTGGTGAGACCCCAGATGGGAGAGAAGGACCAAGGCTGCAGAGTGGAAGGGTGGGCCTGGGGGCAGAGTCCCTTTGTGCCACTGCCATGACCCCAGAGCCAGGCCTAGTTCTTCTGCAAGCCAGGGCTACTTCTGTGAGCACCATCCTGACCTGTCCCCCTAGCTGGCCACAGTGTGGACATACTCCTTCATCCTGTGTTGGGTCTCTGACAAGCCAGAAACATGGGCTGTGGAACACAGTAGTCACCTTGGGGTCTGGGAGCTGGACATGACTACAGCGCTGGGGCAGGGGAGGAGGGCACAGCCCAAGGTGCACCAATGCCAGGCTCAGTGAGGTGCCACCCTGCCACGGGCCAGCTGCCTGCGGCTGCTCTGAACAAACCATGAGGAAGGGACCCAGGAGCCCCCTGAGATGCAGCCCCCACCCAGCTGGGAATGGCCTTGAGGCCCATTCCCTTTTCATAGGGTGATGGATGAGGGAGGGAAGACGCTACAGAGCAAGCTGGGGGCAGGAGAGAATGGACGGCACTGAGGCCCCACAGGCTGAGAGTGGACGTGGAGTTAGGCCGGGAGGAGGGGCTGGTTGGGGGCTTCGGGTTCCCGGGCCAGGCCTGCCCCTGATCCACTGTGTGGGCCCCATCTCTGGTCCCTTCTCCTCTGCTGACCCTGCTCTCTGAAGTTCCACTGGGGCAAATGGACAATGGGAAGGGTGGCCTCTGGGTGCCTGGTGATCTCGGCCCAGGCCGCTGCACCCTGAGGACATGCTCCATCCACCGCACAGGTCCAGGGCCTGGGCCCCACCTTCAGGCTCACGCTGCACCTGCAGAACACCTCGACGGCCCGTCCCATCCTGGGGCTGCAGGTCTGCTTCCTGTACAACGAGGCTCTCTATGCGCTGCCCCGGGCCTTCTTCAAGGTACTGGGCCCTCCTCACTGACATGTGGGAATGGCGGCTGAGGGTGCCTGCTTCGAGAACCCCAGAGACCCGCCAGGTTGGAGGTGAGGGAGCTGGGGGCCCTGCAGGCAGACAGTCTAGCAAGGGGGTCGAGAGATGATATTGGTGGGGCACTCAAGACCTGCCTTCACTGCTTCCTCCCATCTGTGAGCACAGGGAGCCCAGACACATGCAGGCCTAGGTGCCCCATGCTAGCCTCTTCCCGGAAGCCTTCTGTGGGTGTGGGGTCCCAGAGTCCACCTCGTGTTATAGCCACTCCTGCTACAGACACAGCCCTCCCCAACCCCAGGGGAATCCTCCACAAAGCAAAACCCAGTTTTCCCCTAGAGCTCACATTTGACCAGAGGCTGAAGGATCAGAAATTGTCGAGAAGTAGCTCTGGGCTCTCAGGAGGTCTCGGGGTGCATACTTCCCCCACCGAGTCCCCACATTCCTAGAAAGCAACACCCATCGCTATTCCCTGCCCATGAGAGGGGTCATGCTATTTGATCAGAATGTGTGCGGCAGAGTGTCTGGACTCCCCAGAGCTCTCCAGCTGTGTCCTCTCTGTCCCCAAACTTAGGTGCCTTTGCTGGTGCCAGGGCTTAACTACCCCCTGGAGACCTTTGTGGAGAGTCTCAGTGACAAGGGCATCTCAGACATCATCAAGGTAGGGGGCTCCTGGGAGGTCAAATGGGGAGTCTGGGGGGCACAGTGAGGGCTAACAGGGACCAGGATGCTTAGGTGGTCAGGGGGCATCTGCACAGTCACCCCCTCTGACCTCCCAGTCCCCTGGTAGCCTGTCACGAGGACCAGTACAGACCTGGTCGAGCAGGGGCAGGCGGACAGGCGCACACCCAGCCTCACTACACCTGCCCCCTCCTCAGGTGCTGGTGCTGCGGGAAGGCCAGAGCGCCCCTCTGCTGAGCGCCCACATCAACATGCCCGTGAGCGAGGGGCTGGCAGCTGCCTGACCGAGAGACCTGCCACCTCTGCTGGGTGTGCGGACCCTGCCCGCAGGGTGCTGGTGGCAGACCCCTCTCCTGTCCCCACTTCTCCACTCCTCTCCTCACCCCTGTCCACCCACCAGCACCATCCTGTGACAGCAGGTCCGTGAACTTCTTCTCCCTCAGGAACCAGGGAGACTCCTGCCCCCGAGTACCCCACCAGGTAGAATGAAGAGGGAGGAGACCTGTTCTGGCTGCTTCCAGCAGCGCTGGCACACCCTGCCCACCGAGACGCTCTCCTCAGTCCTGGTACCCAGGGTGGTCACACGAGCAGGCAGAAAGCCCACTGGGCAGGGGTGAGGGAATTAGCCAGGTGGAGGACTGAGAGAAGGGCCAGAGACCTCCGCTGCCTTCTGGAATCCCTGGCCCACCTACTTCTGTGGGGCTGATGGGTCAAGAGCCACGCTGAGCCAGTAGCCATGCTCCCCGGGGACCTCTGCTGTCCCCTACCTAAGCAGGTGCGGCCCAGATTGAAGACAGCTCTGGCTGGGCGATGTGGCCGAACCCTCTTTGCTTCCACGTCCCCACGTGTAAAATCAAGGATGTCCCCCTCCTTCAATGCTGGTACCAGAGGATGCAAGGGGCCGGCTCCAGGAAGGTGGCACTCGACAGAAGCATTGCTGAGCTGCTGCCCACAGCCCAGCCCTGCCCTTACCATGTGAGAGGAGTAGAAGGTCTGCCCACAGAGCCTGACCCCCTTCAGGGCCTGCCCGCCACAGCCAGAGTGACCACTCGCTGACACAGGGCAGCTGAGTTAAGAAGGAGAATCCGGATAAGCTGTCTGAGGCACAGCTGGACGAGGCAAGCAGGAGCTTAACCTGGAGTCCGAGTCATGGGCTGGGGGAGGGTCACTCCACAGTGCAGCTGTCAGGTTTCAGTTCATCTGGAAGAACTTAGGAACAGCTTGTCAGACCTAGAGGGGCCTGTCCTGTAGCACAGTGAGCTCCCTGCCCCTGGAGCTGCACAAACAAGGCCAGGCTGTCACCTGGAAGGCCCTCTGCTGGGCCAGATGACATCATGATCCCACTAACTGCACCTCCACTGTGAACCCACAAGAAAGTCGGCTCCAAGTTCTACTCAGAGCTTCTGATAATGATGCAAGGGGTGAAACCCTTCCCTGTTAGCCGATTTGTACAGTGGGATGGTCTCCCGCCCAGTCACCACAGGACCCATTCCGGGTGAGTGGTTTGGAAGCAGATCACCAGGTCTTGCTTCCAGGGTACCTCTGGGTGGGACTGAATCACCAACCTTTCCACTAGTCTCTGTCTGCACCACGGGGGGCTCCAGGGATGCTGTGTACTCGTCATTATAAACATGTGCACATGTCATTGTACACGTCACTGCATGCACACACGTGCACCTGTCCACTGCATACACTTCCACCCATCACTGCACACGTCGTGTCTGCTGCGCTGTGTGGACACATACACCAGACAGTCCCTGCTACACGTACTGTGAGGCTCTAGGAAACGGTACATTTAAGGGAAAGGAGGATAAAAAGTTGATGTCTTTTTATTGGTCTTTACCAGAAAGCATGCACTCCCCTCCAGCTACAGAGCAAGAGGGTTCTAATGAAGAAACCACCTCTACCCGCCCCCCCCAGGCACCTCCGCCCCCCCAGGCGCCTCCGCCCCCCCCAGGCGCCTCCGCCCCCCCCAGGCGCTCCTCCCCTGCCAGTTGCTTCTGACTCAGCCGCTGAGTGTGTGCACAGCTGTTTTCGTTTCCCCACTGTCCCTCGACTCCCCATCCTAATAGATGAGGTAGGACAGCCCCCATCTGCTCCTCCTCGCCCCCAATTTTAGTTTAACAAATACCCTTTGGATTAATGTTGACCTTAATTCTGTATAACTGGACTGTAACTATAAACATACTTTCTTTTGAACTGAGTCTGTACTTTTTCCTGGAGTTAGTGAGCCTGGTGGTACCTGGTTAAGCACTGAGAAGAGCTGTCGGAGTCGGAATTGAGGGGATGACAACAGGTTTTTGAGAGAACGGATGTAGAGTAAGCATGGGGTGAGGGAGGAGGGACAGATCTTCGCTCCAGGAAACAAAACAAAGCCAATGCTGTTGCCTGTGAGTGAGTGACCCACAGGACAGAACTGGCTACCCCACAGGGTCCCGGCGTTTTCATCTTTATGCAGCAGAGTGTCCTATTCTGCAGAGCAGCTTCTGAATCTCACTTAAGGCTGTCGGACCAACTTCCAGTTCTTCCCTGTAGGAGTCCAACAAGAGTCCCCGGTGGCATAAAAGACCCGTGCTTGACTGCTAACCAGAAGGCTGGCAACTGGTACCCAGAGGCGCCTCGGAAGGAAGGCCTGGCAGTCAGCTTCCACAAAGTCAAAGGCAACAGGATATAAGACAGGTCTTCAGTCCATTTCAAAAAAAATGAAATGCGTATGTGTGGATTTTGTGGGGGGAAACCCCTCACTTCTTGGAATGAAAAATAAATGGATTAATTGACTTGCCACATCTCCTGTGGGAATGAAGACCATTCTCAACAGCCAGATCACTGACATCCCGGGAGACGTGACGTCACTCAAGGGCCTTCGGTCACACCCGTGCACACCTCAACCTCCTTGGAAAGAGAAAGGCCAAGAGGAGGCTTCCGACGGGCCTGCCTTTACAGATGAGGCCTGCGTTGTGCCCACTCCCCATCACCATCACTCAGAAGAGTGGGTCTCTTGGTGAAATCGGAAACCTCGTAGGTGAAAAATATATTGAAGCCTGCTGTTTTTTGGTTAGTATGACAACCACAGAGAAGTTAATTCTCTTAAGAAACAACATTGAATTGTACTAAATTCAGCAAGCCATGAGTTAAAAATGAGGCTATCTGAAAATTTTGGGATGGTGGCTAGAGAAGGAACTGTTCTCAGACTGAGGAGTAATATCCAGGCATTTTCCAGCTGTGGACAAAAGGCCAGCTGATTCTCCAAACCCATCAGTGATAATGGTGATGCAATATAATTCAACCTATTAAAGGGAATGGAGGAATTGATACACTGCTTTTTAAAAACCTGACAGAATGAGAACTAAAGACCCGGCTGTCTGGGCTGTAGAAAGTGTCCAGAATGCCCAGAAACCGGAAGAGGGGACAGGAGCTATTGGGTCAAGGAGGATGGACTAGGTAGGTCTAAGAACAGCTTCAAATGGGCAGAGGAAGTCTCTGAAAGCAGGACTGAGGATTTCCTAGAACTGATTCAAGACATAAACTCAACATCAGTAAATCCAATGAGTCCCAACAGGAAAACATGAAAAGCACTCTTACGGCTGTGGAGTTGGAACCAACTCATCCCTGTTCCTCCCGTGGGTTTTCAGAGGCAGTAAATTGCACAGGCATTTTTCTCCCTTCGAGCCACTGATGGATTCAAACCAGCTGGCTCGAAGCAGCACACCTCTCTACAGAGTGTTTTCTTTTGATTTGAGGACACGTGAAGGAAACCCATACTTGGTTCACGTTACAATAAAAGTACATCACATCCAAGCAAGAAAAGTGTCAGGAGAAAATCTATTTGCTGCACAACACAGTGAATATAATTAATGCCACAAAATTATACACAGTGAAGTGTAAAATGTATTTCACTACGTGTTTTTAAAAGGTAACTTCAAAGGGAACAACCATACACACAAAATTTCAACAGTGACTTAAAAGCAACAAAAAAGATGAAAAGCCAGCAGCATAATATTTTCAGTATTCTAAGAAAAACTAGTAACAGCCTTGAACACTGGAAACTATTGTGATGGAAAACTCAAATATTTCTAATAGTGATGGAAAAGGGGTAAAACGGCCCTCTGCCAAAGGTGGAAAACCTCGGAGACCCAGAAAAGTAAAAAAACCCAAAACCTCCAAATAAGTCTGCTCCTTAGTCATGGATGGTGAAGTTTCCTCTCACACACTTGGGCATGATGTCAGGAGAAACCAGTCCGTGACGCTGAGAAAGGGGCCCCTCAGAGGGCTGGATGAACAGTGACTGTGACGAGAGGGCTGGAGCGTATCGGAGGCGGTCAGGACGGTGCAGGACAGGGTGATTCACAGGGTCGTGCAATGGCCCCAAACAACAGCCTGTCACTGTTGTTAGACACGATCAGCTGCCTCAAACCACCAACCTTCTGGATAGAAATCAAGCACTTTCGCCACCACACCACCAGGTTCACTATGAGTCAGAATAAATTAAACAGCAGTGTGTTTTGGTTTATAAAAAGCTCAAAGCTAAATATTTGATGGTGAAATTGATTATCCTCTTTAAGGTCAAAATGAGTATTGGCAACCTTTATTCCACACTGAAGGTGCAAGAAACTTAAAAAGGAAAAAAAAAAACCCACACAAAACAACCCATCTTCATAGATCAGATTCTAAATTGAAAACTTGGAAGAATCAATAGGTGAACTTTTAAGTTTTAATAAATTTGCTGGATGCAAAATCTACATACACCCTGTAAAATCACACAAAATTGTTGTTGTTATGTGCCGTCGAATCGCTTGTGACTCATAGTGACCCTATGTACAACAGCCCTAAACTCTGCTCTGTCTTGTGCCAATCACACTGCCTCTGACACTCCCATCCCGATTATCCCAGTCACTGAATCAATCCACCTCATAGAGGGTCTTCCCCTCTTGCGCTGTCCCTCCACCCTCCCAAGCATGATGTCCTTCTCCAAGGACCCGTTTCTTCTTACAACATGTCCAAAGTATGTATGTACACACAAAATTATCCAATACTTAATAAAGATATCATCTTAATAAGGAAAACACATTAACTTTATTAAAAAAACCTTAACTAGAGAAATAGCCCAGGTTCACAAACAGGAATTCTCCATGTGATGGGGACGACCATTTCCCTAACGCGGCGTATCAATTCAGTGTGTTTCCATCCCCATTCTCAAAGGTGGGACTAACAAGCTGAAGAGCAGAGTCTTAGCCACACAGACACAATGACCAGTGGAACAGAACAGCATTAGAGATCCGCTCCAGGGGTCTCACACAGCAGGCAAGGCGACCCCACAGCTGCAAGCATTCACTTCGATAAATCTCAGAACCGTGATGAGTGACGGTGCACATCACAGAAGAGGAAACAGGTATGAGCTCACATAAAATCCACAAACATGCAAAACAGCACATGGCATAAAACTAAAAAGCAACTCAAGGAAGGGACTTCCTGGTGAGCCCCTCTGGGGAGCTAAAATTCAGTAACAGATCCTGTCATTTGGGAGTGGGGGTGCTGGAGTTCCTGAGAGCATGGAAGAGGGCCTGTCTGGGACCCTACGGGGCACACCTGCTGTTTCCCTGAAGACTCCAGAAAACCCTACCACTTAGCCATCATTTTGCCCCCGTCCTCGTCCCCAGCCTTGCACTGTCCCTTCTCTAAGAGCCCACTCCAGCTTGGGGCAGCTTCATAAGCAAGCTTTGAGGTGTAGGATGAGCTGTGCAGGGAGGGGTGCACCCACCTCCCCTCTGGGATTATGAATGTTAACCTTCTTCCTACTAAGACACCAAACAGGCCTCACTCAAGTTCCAGCTTCGAAAACAGCAAGCTCTCTGGTTTACTGTTTTCTTCCCTCACTTCTTGTAAATAGATCCTTATTTCTTTTAGTGAGATTTTAAAAGGAAGCAGATCTAAACCCACAGGTTTAAACCTGCCTCTGGGAGCCTATTGACTACAGTGACTAGGTAGGTGGCAGCTCCTGGACAATGCAGAGGCCCGTCCCACAGACGCCTGGTCTCCCAGTCGGTTTCTCTGTCCTATTACTCTCCTGCTCCCCTTTCCCACCGTTTCCTAGATTTAAAAAAACTAAAGAAGGTACTTCTTCCTACGTGGTTTTATGAGGTTGGACTAAGCAAGCAGTGTGACAGCCAGTTTGGGGGCTGATCACGTGGGGTGCCCTACAGAGTGGGGAGCGAGGTGAGCTGCAGTCAGGGCCTCAGGGTGTCATTTCTCCAGCAGCAAGGTGGGTTGAGCTCCTATTCCGTAGGTTTTTGGGGCGGGTGGAAGCTGCTTTGCATTTCTCCGCATCATGGACAGGTCATCATGCACTTGTATGGGTTTAATGATGAGTGGTCATAATGGGAGTGGTCAGCTTTCGCAAGGCCCACTGGGTGTCCCGTGTGGATCCAACAGGGGTCTAGATGGTTCTTTCAGACTGGTGTGGGTGAGCAAACGGGTGCGGGAGCGTGTGCACCTGCTGAGCTGCTGGGTGGATGTTATGCTTCTCGTTGATAACTCGTGTCTCTTCTGGGAGGATCCTTGGGGGCTCTTGTAAGAAACTGGTGTCTCTTTTTGGTCCTGGACCGCAGGCTCACCCCACTCTACTCACCCCAGCCAGGCAGGATGGGGTTCAAGTCCTCCGGCTGACTCACCTCCACAACATCCCTCTTCTCCTGCAGGAAATCTCTGACATCTTCACCGGCAAAACCTCCCTTTATCACCTGCTTCTGGTCTCTGTCTTCTGACCCCTCTGCTGCGGTGGGAACTGCAAGTGACTTCCCGGAAGGAGACCTTGTGGTTATGAGGTTCTGGAGGTCAATCATTCGCCGCCTCTTCTTCTTAGGGGAGCCAGGCTGGCTCCTCTCCTTCTGCCGCCCTCGGAATTCGGAAGGCCCAGGTAGCTCCACGTTCCAGCCTTCTCCAGCCAGCTCTTCTGGAGTCGGCCATCTCTCCAGCTTCTGCACCAGGGGTTTCTCCTCCTCTCCCACCCCCTGGACAAAGAGAGCGCCCCCTCACCATGGAATTCACTTTTTGCTTCCTGGACCGATGGGGTTCCTTGCCGAGTTTCCAGGCTGATGCCCTCAATCCAGGCCGCATAGACTGGCTACTGGAGCCCCCTGACCTCTGACTGCCCATGGGCTCTGCATCTAGGGTCAGGCTTAGTCCTTTTCCTAAGGGACTGTTTTTCCTCAAATTCTTTCAACAAGGTTTCTTCTGCTGTTACTGGACCTTCTTCCTCATTGTTTACTGAACCCTCTCAGGCTGCAGGCTCAGGGAATCAGTCAGGACCATCCTGCGTCCCAGCGTCCCTTTTCAGCCTTCTGCGTATCCAGGGATTTGGCCCAGTGCTGCCTGCTTGGACTTCACATCATCAGCAACCTGGAGACCATCATCCTCAATGCTTCCCTCCTCTTCCTCACCCTCAGAAGCCACTTGGGAGTTTCTGCATCAGTTCTTTGCTCTTGGCCAGCTGTTCCTGCGCCACCCGACGACCCTCTGTGTCATACGTGGCCACAGTTGCCTTGGCCCTGGCCCACTTCCCACTGTTGCAGTGTTTCAGGTCCATTCACTCCAGAATTCTGGCCTTTTCCAGGCTGTCCAGTTCTTCTCAGGCCACAGCACGACTGACCTTCACCCTTTCAGGGCTATTTTGGCCTTTCCTTTTCTCATGACTCAGTGATACATTTTGCTCTTGATTTTCTTCTCTTGCCGAGCCTTGGTCTCATAGTAGGACTGCAGGGCCCAGGTCTTCTGAAGCTCTGCGCATCTGGGCCTCTTCCAGGCTCACGCTCAGGGGGCAGCCTTTTCCACTGAAATCCGCAGAGGGTCTGTCACTGGCTGCTTGTTCTATGGAGCACGTTAAAAACGTCCTGCCTGCCCCAGCAGGGTTCTCGCCCTCCTTCCAGTCTCCAAGCACACGTCCGATGGGAGCAAAGACCACCTACTTCTTCCGCAGGGGGAAAAGCAGCTGGCCAGCCTTGCAATTTTTCAAAACGATGGAATCCCATCTGGAGAGCGCCCAGGAGGCTCCACTGGACACCACTTCTCTGTGAATCCTTGCCAGCACCACTTGGTTAAGGGGCAGCTCCACTGTCCTCTTGGACCCAACTCTCTTTAGGTGCTTTATCACAGTGGCCAAAGAGGATGACACGTCAGTGGGCTGAAGCAGATCTGAAAGGACCACTTTTCCTCGTGTTCCTTCACAGCGGACACTAACTCCAACACGTGCAGACCAGCCTCTGATCGCTCAGCCAATTTCCATGATGGGAATGGATCACTTCCAGCAGCATCCGATGCCGAGGCCACCTCTCTCCATCACTGTCCCCTTTGTCCTCACTGGAGCTTGAAGCGCAGTCTCTTCCTGTGGACGCAAAGCCAGCAGGGACTCTGCTTTCCCGGCCACGCTCATCTTCACAGCCTCGTTCTCACACCTGGGCCCTACTCACTTTCTTCCACTGTGCATGGGTGAAGAAGAGAGCAAAAGACCTGGGTTCAAATCCGGACACTTCTACTTACTGCCCTACAACTCCATCAACTCTACCTTTCCACCCACAAAACAAGGGATCTTAAGTGCTGCCCAGTGCACCTAGAATGGGTCGATGGTAATGCTGCTGCAGAAATTCTCCCAGCTTTAGAGCCCCGAACCTGGATAACAAGGTCTGTGTTCTCAGGCCTTGGTTCACAGCAATACTGCCTAGACCTGTAGGAGCCCCCTAGCCTCGCCACTGTGCCAAGGCCAGAGGAGACAGAGCCCATCCAGCCCCCGCGGCCGCAGATGCCTCGGGCTTCCAGGCCTGACAACTGAGGGAACAGAAACAGTGGCTCAGACAGCAAAGCCAGGAGCCAGAAACTGAGCCAAGACGGAGGGAGGACAAGAACTAGGTGGGTGCTTTATTAGCTGGTGACAGGGCACCTAGGCTGGCCAAGCAGCCTCTCCCAGCCCCTCCAGGGGACCTGGGCCCCAGGTACTGCAGAGTCACAGGGTCCTACCCTACATGGGACAGAGGGCAAGAGCATGACTAAGGTGAGACAAGGGGCCAAGGTTACCGAATGATCCCAAATTTCCAACTTGAGCTGACTGAGACAGCAGCTTGGATGACTTCTGGAGCAGGTGCAGGTATTTGGGGCCAATATCCTCTCGCCCAGAGTCCCCTAGGACAGTTGCAGCTCTTCCCAGAGTCAGGAAGCCACAGGGCCCCTGTCAGCTGCAGTCTGGAAGGAAATCCCATCCCCAGGCAAGGGGGAGGCCAGGAAAGGCCACAGCCACACGAGGACCCAGCGGGGCCCCAGGGCCACCTGCAGGTTGTGGCGGGGGCCCAGGTCATAGGTGTTCTGGCCCCGCGCCCACTCCCACGTCGTCTGGCCGCGCAGCAGCAGCGTCCCGTGGAAAAGCAGCCCCGCCACGCACAGCAGTGCACCTGCCACGCACGTGTCCATCACAAAGGCCAGGGCGAACTGTGCCAGAGATACCCTACCTGTGCAGAGAGAACAGAGAGCACATGGTCAGCCAGGTCCCCTGAGCCAGCCCCTCTCCTCCTCCAAACCCCAAGAGCAGGGTCCCTCCTTGGCCAACAAGGCCAGGGAGACTGGACTCAGGCCAGTCGGACCCAGGCAGTGACTCACACATCTCAAACTGGGAGCTGGCCTTGGTGGCTGGCAGCATCGGGGCCCTGAGGGAGCTTACAGCACTTCTCAGCTGCTAAGGCAGCATCTCACACGGGCCTCGTCCACAGCAGATGCCAAGGGTCTGCTGATCTCACGACTACAAAATGCTGTGGAAACATGTGCTGTGTCAGACACCAGACACAAAAGGCCACAGAGTGGGAGTCCACTGCCAGCTATAACCTGAGAGGTTGTGGGTTCAGTCCCAGGCCGCCACAATAAAGCAACGTCTCAAGAAATTGGGTCACGCGGGTCTTTTGTTTCCCAGGCACATAGAGGTTATGTTAACACTGTGCTATAGCCTGTCAAGTGGGCAAAATAACAATGTAAAAGTCTGAATGACCAAAATGTGACACGGAGACATAAAGTGAGCACGTGCTATTAGAAAAATGGCGTCAACAGACGTGCTGTACACGAGGTTGCCACAAACCTTCAGTCTGAGAATCACAGTATCTGTGGGGTGTAATAAAACAAGGTGTACCCATGTGTGAAATGTCCCAAGCAGGTAAGGCCATGGGGACAGAAAGCAGGTGAGTGCCTGCGGGGACAGAAGAGGCAGGGGGAACGAGGAGTAAGGGTTTCTTTGGAGGATGATGGAAAGTTCAGGAATTACTGAAATTCCAGTCACTGAAAACCCCACGGAACAGTTTTACTAACACATGTGCGGTCACCACGAGCTGAATCAAGCTGACAGCAGCTAGGTTTCTGGTGGCTGCACAAGAGTGCATATCTGCCAACAGTCACAATTTAACGTGGTTTCCGCCATGTAAACCTAGGGAGCTCTGGTGGCTTAGTGGTAAGGAACTGCACTGACAGTCCAAAAGTTCGAGGTTCAAATCTACTAGCTGCTTCATAGGAGAATGATGGGCAAGCTCCTCCCATGTGATTTACTGTCCATGAAAACCAGCTGGAGGGTCAGCTATGGATTGATTTTGACTCAACAGTACACAACAACAACAAACATGTGAATTCTGCTTTGGTTAAAAGAGAGAGAGAGCTTATGGGAAAATGAAAATGGAAGTTTTATATAAGAATCTTTCTACAGTTTGGGAGAAGATGCTGTGCCCAGTTAGGCATCACTAACGTGTTGCTGACGTAGTCCACAGCGAATTTTACCACTATCCAAAAGGCTGAGCATCTCTGACAGTTCAAAACCACCAGCAGTTCTGAGGGAGAAAGATGGGCAATCTCCTCCCCTTAGGATTCACAGCCTCAGAGCCTGGTCAGCTCTGATTCTGCATCGAGTTTTGAGTTTTTGGAAGTTTGAGGTTTTCGAGTACAATAAAGTTAACTGATAAAAAGAAAATTAAGAAGGGCAGAGAAGCCAACTTTATCTGGATCTGCAGCAGGCCGATGGCAGAGTCTGCAGAGCCTAAGTCAGCAGGGAGCAGGAGGCCAAGGATAACACCAAGAGCCAGAGCACAGGATGTGCAGCTGGGGGACTGCGTCTCAGTATGGGAGATGGGGAGCTCTGAGGCCAGGGGAGGGCTGGCCAGGAACAGAACGGACCAGGCAGAAACAGATCAACCCACAGGCAGGGCATCACAGGCTTTCCTGGGGCAGGGTGGGGTGTGGGCAGCTTAGGACCAAGACTTGGGTAAGATGAGGAAGTATAAGGACAACAACTCCTAGTGACCACAGGACACACCAGTGGGCAGAATATCAAAGAAGAGAAAAGTCCAAAGCACTCTGGGGCCAAACAAAAAAACTTTGAAGACTGGAAGGAGCTTTGCCTTCGAGTGGTACTGTCCAGATCACAGCCTCTCAAATCAGCCCCATCTGCCCCTCCTACACCCACAGTGTCCAACAATGGAGCCTTCTTCTGTCTATAATCTTCACTGGCTCCCTACTATCCAGTTAAATAAGGGCCATCTCTGCACATGCGCATTCAAGGCTCTCCCCTGGTCTTAACTTACCTTCCTCGCTGTAATTCCTACAATTGCCATTTTATTTCCTCTACTGTGTCCTGCTCAAACTCTGAGCCTTTCTTGATGCTGCTGTTCTTCTTTAGAATAGCCCCGTCACCCCTACTGAAGTCCCAGCTTTCCTCCTCAGACAACACCCTCTGGAACCTTACCTGGGATTCCCCAGGAAGAACTCTGGACCTGGGGCAATATGCTCTTTTACTCAAACACACCTGTTGGGTATGTCTGACCTCCTCTCCCATTAAGGACACTGGCACTACAGGAGAACCAGTGGGAAATCTCACCTCCCAGCAGAATGGCCCTCCCTTCCCAGCCCAGTGCCAGGCACACCTGCAGTCCTACGCAGGGCATTACCTGTAAGCAGCATGAGCCAGGGCAGGAGGAGGAGTGTGGCGGCATGGAGAGGGGTGTGGGCCTGCAGCAGGGATGCCAGCGCAGGGCCCAGCAGCACCGAGACGTGCAGCAGGACACCAGTGGTGTGAAGCAGCAGGCACAGGAAAGGCCGATAGTTCTGGAAGCCGACGCAGCGGCCCAGCAGGCGGCAGTGGTGGTCTCTGCGCAGAATGCAGACACGGCAGGCAGAGCAGTGCCCACTGCGAGGTGGTACTTGGCTCTGGCACTGGTAGCAGTAACTGCAGGTAAGAAATGACAGGGTCAGTGCCCCCCAACAACTCTGAGGGTCCATGTCACGTCCAAGGCAGCCTCTGAGCCCAGCCCAAGAAAACAGAAGCCACTGGGCCCCATTTCTTGCACAGCTAAGTGCAGGCTGAACAAGACTCCTCAGGTCCCTTCAAGCTCCAGTTCGGGCATTCCTGACCCTATGTCTGTCCTCAAACGTCTTCCATCCTCCACTGTGACTACCTTGGTGCAAACCACCAAGAGCTATGAGCCTTCTCCCCTAGTCTAATCTCAGCCCTGTGGCCAAATCTTTTAAAACCTAAGTCATGTCCTTCCTCTGTATAATATCCTCCAGTGAATCTCCAGCTCAGTCCCTGTAAAAAGCAAGGCCCCCAATGCCCTAGAAGGTCCAACATGCTCTTCCCTTCCCTCACTCCATTCAGTTACACACTGGAGTGCAAATGAACTGTCTGTTCCTTCTGCTGGAACACTCTTCCCCCATACACACATGGTTAATCCCACCTCCAGATCAACAGCCTGTTTTACTGCATTCTCAGTGCTTAGGATGGGCTGGTGGCCCTAGCGGTACGAGGTTACGCTGTCAAACCAAAGTTAGATGGTTCCAATCCACCTGTTGCTCCGTGTGAGAAAGATGGGCACTCTCCTCTCGTGTGATTTACGGCCCCTGAAACCCCTCTGGAGGGAAAGCTAGGAGCGGGTTCCGACTCGATGGCACGGTGCCCCTACCAGTGCAGAGATGGGTGCCCAGTACACAGCAGATGCTTTGGGGGAATGAAAGAAACTATCTTTCCGCCTCTCTCTAGAATCTCAGGTTCTAAAGGAGTTCCCGGCCCCATCATTAGAGGCTCCTCCCCCCAGCTCAAGGCTCCCCCTCTCCCGGCCAGACCCCTCGCCCCACTCACGCCCAGCCCTGGCCCAGGCCGCGGCCGGCCAGCATCACGCCCCGAATGCTGGGATCGGAGCGCAGGAAAAGCCCCGCGTTGCCCAGTAGGTTGAGGAGCTGGAAGGCGGCTAGCGAGAGCTGCAAGACCCGGGCCAGTGGTCCCAACGGGGGCGGCCCGGGGCCCCACACCACGACATAGGCCAGCTCCAAGCCCACGGCCGAGGCCCACAGCGCCGTGAGCACCACAGGCAGCCGCGCGGGGGTCCCCTCCGCACTCCCCGCCGCCCACGGCTGCCCCATGACCGGGGCCCACCGGCTATCGGTTCCCAGTAGCCCGCAGCTTCCGTATTGTGGCGGGAATAGCAGCAGACGGACGGTTACTTTGACCAATAGGAACTTTTCAAGGAGCTGACAGCAGAAGCGTGATTGGGCGGGCGGGTACGCCAAGACGCCGCCTGGGTTCCTTGGCGCCGGGGGCCCGTAAAGCCTTACGTCATGGCCCCGCCCCCGGCGGAGGCCCCGCCCCCGTGGAAGGCTGGCGGCTGGGCGGGCTGTCAGGAGGGCCCGCGGGGTAGAGTTGCAGTCTCGGTGGCGTCGGGGTTTCCCGGCTCAGCACATTCCCTCTTACCTCGCGGCCGCCCCGGTATTAATAGCTCGGACTTGCCCTGTCCAGCTGGCTCGGATCCCCTCCCCATGCTCGTATGTCTCCATCACCCCAGAAAACATTCAAAATAGCTCTGCGCCTCCGTGTTTCTGGTTGTGAAATAGGGAGAGGGCTCCCCATTTCCCACCCAGGCGATGTTGAAAGTGTCGGGGGGCTGGGGGAGGGGAAGGCCCAAGGAACTTCTTAGAGCGGTTTGCAGCCACTAGGATTACCATCACTTTGCTGTACAGAGGAGGAAAGTTAAGACTCAGAGAGGACCCGTGGCTTTCCCAAAGCAACACAGCATCCCAGCGGCGGAACCGTAACGCGAACCCCGGATCCTCCAGGACCCACCGCAACGCCCCCCAATGCAGCAGCTCAGCGTAGCCTCCAGCCTGGGCCCCACCCGGGCGCCCTCGCCCCTAGGCGGCCCCTCCCTCCTCCCCCATATTTAGCGCGAACCCGATCCGGGTCTGGGCCGGGCCCTACTTAATGCAGCGGCCGCGCTGGGGAGCGCGCGGAGCGGAGCCCAGAGGCCAAGCACGACGATGATGATGGTGATGCAGCCCGAGGGCCTGGGGGCCGGGGAGGGGCCCTTCTCAGGCGGCGGGGCCGGCGAGTATATGGAGCAAGAGGAGGACTGGGACCGAGACCTGCTGCTGGACCCGGCCTGGGAGAAGCAGCAGCGGAAAGTGAGTGTTCGCCCATTTCCTGATGGAAAAACTGAGGCTGGAGCGGCCAGGAGGTTTCCCCGCCGCATCCCAGCAGGTCAAGGGCAGAATCTACTTTTCCCTTAGAGCGCCTTTCCCCAGCTCAAGCTCAACCCACAGATTCCCTGCAGTCCTGTGGGGCTGGCTGGAAGGCAGGGCTGGGAAACTCTTGGGAATTAAGGGTGAGGAAAGTTTCTGGGGTCCCCATCCGCCAGAGTTCATTCTCCTAAGCTCTCTGGCCCCTTTATGCCGTGTAAAATAATTTGTTGGACAAAGTTCAAGAGATCCAAGTTTGGGGTTCAGGAAAAATAATCTCCCTCACACTCCCACGTGGTAGTTAAATATACCCAGGCCCTAACCTAAGGACTTGTGGCCGTGCCAACTCCTGAGCTTGGTGCTGTTGACTACCATTTCAGGTCCCCCCTCTCCCTCTCCTCTGCCCTGTCTAGCATGGGATCTATAGCTCTAAACCCAGCTGTCAGAGGAAGAAACTGAGGCCCCAAAAGGGACAGAAATGGGGCTCAAACCATATACATACTGTCAAGATGCAGACGCTCCAGCCTAAGGGGTTTTGCCCCTTGCCCTAACCCCACTCTTTTCCAAGCTCCTGCCCCCCCCCCCAGGGGCCTGAGTCTGCTGAAAAGGCCATAAGGTCAGGGAGGAGGGAACCCTGGGTCCCCTTACGCAGTAACTTGACTCTCCAGCCAGATAGACACTTTATGCTGAGGCAGCGATTGGTAAGAGAGCTAGGGGCACATGGGTTGGTGGCCACCCAGGTCCAGCCTCATCAGAATCCTCCCCCTCATTAAGCTATTTTCACTCCTTGCTCTACCAAGTGGAGAGGGCAGGACCCCTCGGTTCCCAAAAGAGATGAGCAGGCTGGAATGCGAAACGTCTGGGGGATATCAGGCAGGGGCAGAGGGGGGCAGAGCCCATTGGACCATGTGTCAATAATGTGAGACACAAGAAGGGGCAGGCAACAGGGATGCTTGGTGGAACCGGTGGAGTCTGAGCATCCTGGAATTTAGAATCAGAGTGTTTCTGTTGGATGAGATAGCCCCAGGGGGCAGGAGGCTCAGCTGACTCTGCTGGGGTGCCCCCAATGATGCCTCCTCCAGGCTCCTCTTGCACCTGTCTCCCCGCACAGCTGTGGTCCTGGGCTGGGCAATCTCTTGATGATGTCATCCCTGCCCCTGGCTCCAGCCACCACCTGTTCTGAAAAATTCCTCCCCCTCCCCACACCCCCACCCACCCAGGCCTCTTTGCATACCCCTCGGACAACATACGGCAGTCTGGAACTTGCCTTTGTCAGTTAACAACAAACATCTCGAGAGCATCCTTCCAGCCCAGCTGAAAAAACCAAACCACGTCATCCCCTCGATTCCGATTCCGACTCCACAGCTCTGTAGACAGAGGACAACTGCCCAAGAGGGTTTCCACATCTGTAAATGTTAATGGAACGAGACTGTTGCAGCTTTCTCCCAAGGAGTTTGGCTACTGGGTTGGAACTGCCAACTTTGAGGTTAGCATTCAAGTGTTTTAATCACTGTGCCACCCGGGCGTTTTCCAACATCCATCAGCCACTTTAATTCCTTCTCCAGCTGTATAAGACGCTCCGTACGTCCACCTGTGTTCTCCGTGGTTGGACATCTGGCTGTTTCTCTGTTGTCCATAGTTGTTTATTACACTCCAGTAACACACACCCATGTGCTTTTGCTTCAGTTCCTTCCCTATCCTGGGAGTGAAAACTTTCTCTCCAGATACTATTCATCCAACGTCTTCACACAACCTGGGAGCACTCCTGCCTCCTCACTCACACCTGAGGCCTGAGGCCACTTACTCAGCTTTTTCAGAAACACTCAGTGAGTCATTCTCTTTAGAAGGTCTAACTGCAATCCCAAGGCACACGGTTTGAATCCACCAGCTGCTCTGCAGGAGAATGGGCAATCTCCTCCGATGCTCCTTTTCTCTGAAAACCCGTCGCAGTCAGCTACGGGTCGGTTCCCACTCAATGGTACACGGCAGTAGGTGATGCTGGAAACTATGCCATGGATACCAGCAGGATCGTCCATAATGGACAGGTTTCAGTGTGACTGATACACTGAGACAGTCTAGGAAGAAGGATCTGATGAAAATTAGCCAGTAGAAGTCTTACAAATAGGAATAGAACACTGTCTGATATAGTGCTGGAATCAGGTTGGAAGACACTGATGTGAAGCAGCAACAATGGCGAAAATATACCTACTGCTATGAAGATAAGGGAGCTCTGGTGGCCTAGTGGCAAGAAGATGTGCTGCCATCCCAAAGGCATATGGTTCAGATCCACAAATTGCAACCAAATGGGCAATCTCCTCCCCTGATGGTTAACTGCCTTCTGAAAAAGCTCCCAGTCAGCTATGGGTTGGTTCGACTCGATGGTGGCCCTAGTGGCAAGAAGCTGCACTGCAATCCTGACGACAGAACTCTCATGAGGCTGTGGTTGAACACACGGCTGCTAACCCAAAGTTCAAGGGTTCAAAGCACCAGCCACTTGGCAGGAGGAGGCTGTGGCAGTCTGGTCCCATGAAGATTACAGCCTTGGGAACCCTGTGGGGCAGCTCAGCTCTGTCCTTTAGGGTTGAAATCAATTCATCAGCAATGGGTTTGGTGACTGAGAGGACAGTGTAGTACCGGCCAGTGCTTTTGTGTTACACATCCGATCACAATGGGTTAGAGGAAACTCAGCGCAACTAAAGGTGCCAGGGACCCAGAAGGAAAGCAATAAAGTGACTGTTGAGGGGGAAAAAAATTTCTGTCCTCCCCCTGGTCCTGACTGGCTCTCTCACTGACACCCATCCTTTCACTCCCTGGTCCTGGTCCCTGACTTTTCCTTCCCCCTCTCCACCATGGCATCTTTTCCCACTCTGCTCAGAGGGAGCTTTCGAAAACACTGCTCTGCCCACCTCCCTCCTCTGCCTGAAAGCTTTGCTGACTCCTCGTTGCCCTCAGGATCAAGTTCAAACTCCCTGGCTTAACACCCAGGAGCGTGCATGACCTGGCCCCTGCCGCCCCTCCGGCCTGCCTCTCACCGCTTACACCCAGACACCCTCAGCTTCAACTGTTCCTCACTCTGCCTGCCTGGGATGCCCTTGCCTGCCCTTCTTGGTGTGAATAACTTGGGTTCTTCCAGCTCTGAGCAGACTCCCTAAGGGGTCCCATCGTTGGAAAGACCCCTCCCTTAGACAGACTCCCCAACATGTCTCTCTTGGCATGTCTCAAGCTATCATGCCCCTATGAGTCTCTTTAGGGTAGAGACCACAGCTCATGAAGGGTTCTGTGTATAAAAATCAAAGAATGCCCCCCACTGTTTAGGCAGAAAGAGCACTACCGTGCTACCCCTGGAGCCCTCTCTGAGCTCCCATCCGACCTGGCCTTCCTCTGTCCAACTCAGATCATTCCAGGCTCCAGGGTCAGAATAGAGTGTGGAGAATCCAACTGCCTTCCCCTGTACTTACATCCCAGCATCCACTTACACACTGCTGGTGACCGGGAGCTCACTCCATTACCCTGCCAATGACAACCTTGTAAATATTTGAAGAGTTATCTTCCATATCTAGCAACCAAGGTGCCTGGGGAGCTGGTCTGAGGAAGGGAAGGTTCTAAATGTCTTCCAGGGCCACCTTGCAGGAGTATCTACCCCGTTATGGGGGATCCTCTGAATTCTTGAATCCCACCGGCTCAGAGGAGGGAGGATTTGAATCATCATGGAGTCAGAACTCTTAATTGTGCAGTTGGGGAAACTGAGCCCCAGACAGGGTGAGGGGCTGACCTAGGGTCATGCGGAGCGAACAGCTCTGTGGACTGGAGCCAGACCATGCCTCTCAAGGATCTACTAGCTGCTGGCCGACTTTGGGGCCTGAGGGCTTGCCCTGTTCTGTAGTTCATAGCAACCTGATGAACTACAGAAA